ATGGAAAGAACAAAGAATGGCGGCAGACGCAAAAAAGCGAGAAACAAATTTATTGCAAGAAGGTTCTTTATTGGCTTTTGTTACTTATGTTATTTAAATTTAGCATATATAAAGACTTGTAGCCATAACGAAATTATTTTTTACCAATTTAGGAACATATGTTGCTAAAATTCTAAAAACATTTTCTGGTTATCGCTCCGATATTTTTGGAAACGAAGAAACTGAAATCGGTCGAAAGGTAAGGTTATTTTATTTCTAATTGTAATCATCAAACTCTCAATTAGATTGCTTGCTCATTTATTTTTTATGTTGAACTAGATTGGGGAAGATAAAGAGAAAAAACGAATTGACAAGGCGAAAGTTGTATGGGATGGTCATACGGCATCTATAAATATGGCAACACAACGTGCTGCAGCTGGTGTTTCAATCGATGAACAAATTGCAGCAATTCATCGAAGTAAAGGCTTAACAAGGTATATATTAAAATATTTTATGTTTAGAATTTGTACAAATCGCATTAACACTTTCTAATATTAAATGATTAGCGATAGCGACTCTAAAATCGGTCCAAGAATACCTCAAATACAGGATCAACATTCACACCAGCATCAAATTCTGCATCTTCATCAACAAGGATTACAACAACATATGTCCTCAACTCAACAACCTATTTTTACCGGATATCCGTTTCACACAACACAAAATGTTCCAATACCTCAAGGGCTTCTCCCTGTCACTTATTCCGGTTATGTTGATTCTTCCGCACCATTTGCACGTCAATTACCAGGTTTCGTTGAGCCAACCTCACCCCAAAATGTTAATATGGCCTTTCAACAACCTTCTCAAGTCCGGCCACCTATTCCGCACATTCCTCAACTTCATCGCCAGTCTTTACCAGGTACGCAATATAATAAATATAAATGGTAATTGTATTATATATTTTAGTAATTTGAACTAATTTATTAAAAATAGGTCGAACAATGGAAGACGAGGTAGACATCGCCGTGCTAACAAAACGACAAAAATTAGACAG